TGAGCAAAATGGAAAATCATTATGTTCATCGTGAATCGATTGCGGATAATTTAAATCGACTTCTACATAACTAACCTGTTGAAGCATCATCTGTAACCTGTAGAAAGTCAATTTTATCAAAATTTTCTTCCCACTCAATTTTATCTCGTGGCAAATATTGTGTCATCGCATATCCATACAGGTTATTAGCGTCTAGATAAACAAGATACTCCTCTTCTATGCTACTATCAAATTTTTCTTTCATATATCTGTTGTTAGCTGCAACGTATTGACCTGAGAATTGACTCAAACCACCACGAATACCTGATTCTATAAATAAATGCATATCTATATCCGACAAAAGTCTTAATGATATGTTTGTAAACTTGAGCATTGCATCCCATGAAAAACCTGGAGTTGTGTAATAATGTGCTGGATCTAGACCATACGCTATTAGACATTGCTCACGAAACTGTTCAGAAACTTCTGCGAATAATAGAATATCGATTTTCATGTACCAATCACAATACTCACCTAAATTTTTTGTGTTGAATGCTTTCCAAACTTGAAGAGCATGCTCGTAATCAGCATCAGATACTTGTGAATCAGTGAGACTACTGTAAAAGTATTTTTTTTTCAGGCAAGCTAATTTCTTCAAGTTTTTCACAGAAATCGATGTATTCATATGGCATCACTCCTTTCCACGACAAAATTTATTTTTTCTTCTTCAGTATCTTGAAATTCTGAATTCAAATTTCATAACTACCCAAATAAGAAGCCAGTTCGTTAAGTGACAAAGCCATAAACTTGAATGAATCAATGAATCCTAATTTGATTCCCATGTCTGCAACAGACATTGTGAATGTTATATACTTTTCTTTTGTCAAAAGTAAAATTTTAATATTTTCAAAAAAGTGATTGGATATATCACGAATAATAAAATGAGCATCATAAAAACTAAGATTGTGAAAAACTGCAGGTACTATACAAGAATTTCGAAGGTTCAGATTGCAACTTTGATGGGCTGCACCTCGATATATTTTTATCTAGTGTCAATAGTCATGAACTTTCATTGATTCGTTAATTAATTTTTCACAAATATGACATACATTTGTCGTCTCGAATTGACCGATTTCCTCTGGCGTAAGATCATTCATAGGTTTTGGATCATTATAGATATTTTTGATGTAATAAGAAATATTTTTTTAATTCTTCTGCGAACAATTTTGATGGCTCAGACCCGTAATAAGAATTATATTTCGATAATCTGTTATCATAACTACAATTCAAGTAGTAGCCTATGCTAAACATTTCGTGGTGTGAATGGTAATGGTATTTTTATGAACATGTTTTTTCAATAGGCATTCACAGTCTCCATAGAGACTGGGAATGGTGATTTTAATTTGAATCCGTAGTTCTTAAATTCAATCATATCTTGACCTTTTCTTGGCATCTGTACACTACACTTATTTATTTGTTTACAGTTCCTTTCATGTGCAACGAGTTTCCCTGATATGTTAAAATAATGCAAACACTGAACACAAATAAATTTGTTAGTTTTGCAGCGGATAAACTGCTTTCTACTAATCTTGTAAGGTCTTTTATATGAATATAATGATAATTATTTGATATTTCATCATTTATCAATAAAAGATTGACATGATTTAATTTTTTATCATTTGTATGATAAAGAGGAACGAGTTTTTTACCCTCTAAACTAAACACATTGATTGATATGCTATTTTGTTTTTCAAATTTTGAAATTTGATTCAAAGAGACTGGATATGATATACCATTCAATGGAGTTTATTCTCGTGTAATATGGAATGACTTACTCTTCGACAATGCTTTGTATATTCAATTTTACATTAAGCTGCTAAGATTGCCCATATAAAGAATTTTTTATTATTATTTTCTACATTGATACACGCATGTTTGCTTTTTAAAAATGTTGGTAGAGGTATATAAGAACTTCCACTTCGTATTAGATTCAATTTATTGTTATTAATTTGAAGATTAATAATAGAATCCAAAGACCATCCGGACTCGTTACTTTCAAATTCCTCCATGTTGTTTAATAATGGACTTTTAATGTTATCATCAAACTATTTCTTGAAATTGTTTAAGGGATATACTTCAATATTTTGTGTAGTAAAATGCTTTGTGTCAAAAGACTTGTCCAATTTATCTTGATTACTAGAATATTTCGAAAATTTGCATTAAAGTACAGCATTAATCTTACAAGCATTATTCACTCATAAAATACTTTTGGCATATCTTGCAAACAAATCGCAAGCATCTTTTAAGAATGATTCAATATCAATGTGTTGAATATTGGCTATAATACTAATTTTCAAACGGTTTTCGAATGCGCTTTCCAAGTTCACCTATTCTACACGATTTTTTATACTATTACCTAAACCTTTTCCATGAACTCTACAATTTTCTAGTCTTAAATGAATATATTCAAGTTTACCAATGGTACTGAGCAATGATTGTTTTTGTGGCACGCTAAGCGATGATGTCTGTCTCAAAACTTTTTTTAAAGTTCACAAAGATAAGACACATTGTTTTTTCCATCGTTCTATAATTATTTCATCACATAGGTTTTTAGAAATAACAAGATTTACAGCTTCTTCAATCAAATGGAAATGTTCCAAACAGTGTTGTAAAATTTTCATTTTTGTTTTTTAGCATAGACGTTGACTGTTGCAGGTATCAATCACGAATGAATTGAGATCGACGTCAACTATTTTATATATAATATTATTAATCTTTTTCACCACACATACTACAGGTATCTGAAGTTTCTATCTCAGACTATTCATTTTGAATATAATCATCATATGCTGAATTGATTAATTCATCATCATCATCGCTAAGCATTTCTGTGTCGGATTGAGCTTCTTCTTCTTCCATCTCCAAAAGCAACTACGTTCTTTCAGTTGGAATGCAAAATTATTGATGTCTTGAGCGTGTTTTGGATAACACATTTTGAGCTTCAAAAGTTGTTGATAAATGACAAGAGAATGATCACATTCGCAAAGGAAATCTCTTTTATATACATATTTAAAAAGGGAGGGGGTACATCTTTAAGTTTGTGTGCAAGTGCTTTTTTTAATTTAGATGCAGTAATACTCGCATTGAAGTATCATGTCAGACTATAGGTAATTATTTAAAAGTATTCTTAGCAATTTTTTTCTTACAATTCCATTTTTTTCAAATTTGAACAAGTTAGGCTACAAAGCTTTGACAACTGGCCATGTTATGTGCAGCCTAAAGATTTAGCAGTTGCTGAATTTTACTTTGTGAATGAAATTGACAAAGTCCTACATAAAAAATATTCACATTTTAAAATGCAAGAACTCATTCAGTTCAATCATTTTCAGTCGCTTATTTCTAGTGCAACGGTAGTCGATTCAATTAATCGCACCGTTCGCGATTCTGAATTTCGCGCGTTAGTTCTAAGTATTGAGAGAGAGAGGGGGCGCGCGATCTTTCAAATTAGCAGTTACGTCTCAGCTGTTGATACGTGTGGATATCGCCGAATTTTGGTTACACTATTTTTCTCGCCGAGTGATAGTTTTTTCAGATCAATTACGTGCGCGAGTGCAACAAAGTAGTCAACATATTGCAGCATTACGGTAGCAGTAGATTTGGAGCTGATAGGCGATACAAGGCAGCGCAGTTGATAAATCAGAACCGGAGACAGTTGATAATTTTACTGGCATCAACAATTACGGCCGATCACCGTAATTGCACCGCAGGGTAGGTGCACCTCCCTTAATTATCGCGTCACAAAATACAATCGGTATTTTGTCCGATCGTAATAGCGTTAATTATTTGTATTCGCGCCGAGCGTTAGATCGCGCCAATTTTCGTATCTTCTCTATCTCTCTTTCTCATTTTGTAAATCAATTGTAAATCCTATTCGCGTGCGTCAGTCTTTCGGCCCGACAAAGACTGTATAGATTTTTTATGAATAAACTTTGTTAAACTTATTCGCCGATTTCGTCATATGATTTTCCGAATAGTTTAAGAAATTGAAATAGGCTTAGGTGTTAATCCTATTACGCCTAGGGGATTAAGCGGAGAAGGAGTAAAGTCGCTCACACTTCAAACTCATCGAGTGTCACGATACATGTGACTTAAGGTGAGTTCAACTCTGCTTGATCGAAGACAACCAAGCTAAGTCAGCTGACGTTAAGGCGAATACACGTACTTACATACGTGATTAACGGAGCGGCGGTTTGCTCTGCATCGTGGGAGTTTGCTTATAAATAAATTTCCCATTTTTGCAAGATTCCCCCCGTTACACTAGATGAACACGAACTCGATCATTTTCGAGGATATTGAACTGGTTTTGATTGAGAGGTGTTAGTGTCTGGAGGATTATGTTTGTCATTTAATTCTTGTCTTTCTGGAGATTTTTTGGATGGGGAAATGCTGTAAGAACAAGAAGAATTAGAGAAACTTAAGGAACTTGAAGAGCTGATTAAAATTTTTTTGGAGTAGTTTCTGGAAAAGTTTTTGGTGGGAATTTTGTTGTCGGAGGAGGTGATTTATCAGAACTCGTGATACTGATAAATTTTTTGAACGTGGAGTATGTTTTCAATGTCTGATTTTCAGTCACGATTTATGAGTAATCGTCGCGTTCGATTTGTAATTGTCCGTATTCTTGTCTGTTCGTTTTACAATTTTTTTTAAAGACTCTTTTGTTGTCGAACGAGGAAGAAGTTTCCGTTGTTTGGTTTCCGTGCTCGATTTATCATTTTAGTCCACGTTTTTGTCTTTTGTTCTCGCTTCAGCTGTATTTGTAAGTTTGTTGGATATAACATGCGTTTTAACATCACTTATTATTTTTGGCAATTCATTTTTGGTAATTGATTTGTCATCAGTCTTATATTTTTGTCCGTTTGTTTTTGATATTGTTACTTGTACATGTTTTTTTAATGAGTTTTTACATTTTACATATTTATATGAATTATTCTTCTTCTTTATTTTCTCATCGATCTTTTTAGGCATGCGTCGCAAGGATTCGATCTTATTGTTTTAACGGTAAATATCTAAATGGTCCACCACATCCGGCTGGGCATCACAAATCTGAAAATAGTATTTTCTCCGTAAGTCGTTATGCAAATAACTTTTTTATAAAATAAAATAGTAGTATAGTAATGTATGTTCCAGCACACCTGCGGGGGGTCTGTAACCCTTTGACCCCACCGGGCTTAACCCTTTGGACCCCCTGGCTATGTTAATAATAATTATTATTGTTAACAATTATTATTAACAATATTCGTGGGGGGTCCCTTGGTTTAACCCTTTGATTCCCTGGCCTCTATCCCTTCTATGTTAATTATTATTATTATTAATGTTAATAATTGTTTATAATTTTTGAGGAAGGTTTCTAGGACTCCTAGTCCCTAGGGCTCCTAGTCCCTAGGGACCCTATACCTAGTGCTTTTAGTCTAATTAAATTTAAATGTTTTTTTAAAGTTATAAATATATATATATTATTAACAATTTACTTGCTACATTGAGAATGAAACGAATATAGAAAATAGCGACGATTTTTTTTTGAAAAAATTGAAAAGACAGACCGGAGAATCGAACCGGAGTCCTCTGGGTTGGCAGGCTAGCGTTCTACCACTAGAGCCAATGCCACATGTACCTTAGAGGATGCATATTGTGTATATTAGCTACACACGCATACATTTGGTATAGGGCCCGAGCGTGCGGACGAGGAGGGGAGCGCATGCTGTCTATAGTTCTGGCCTGATGGGGATGCGCTACTATAGTAGTATTAAATGTATACTCTCTCTCTCTAGCTCTGACTCAGCGTGGTCCACAGTGCGAGGAGGAGGGGAGCGCATGATCAGCTATACTTATTAACTACCCTATTATCTTAAGTTAATTATGTCTATCATAAATGTAGATCATAGCTGGTTTGAGGGTGATCAAGCTTCTCTACTACTTTCAGAAAGAGAGAGCATCTATGCTTACTACGTTCCCTCTTATCTTATGTTACCTATGACTATCGCAAATGTAGATCATAGACGGTTTAAGGATGGTCAAACAAAACTCATAGCGCGGACGCGTGACCTGCGTTTAATGTGTTTTTTGCGGATGACCATAAAGTCAGCGGGACGTCAAGATTTATAGTTTTTAGAAAGTGACAAACTTTCTAGCCTACATGGGGTGGGAAAGGGTACACTAAACGTCCTATCTCACTCAAAGAATGTCTACGTTTGTGTGTAGCGTTACATATATTGTAGAAAATTCGTACCTGATAATAGTGTGAGTGTTCGGTAGGATTTTCGTTGGTCAGTCTTAAAGGAAACTTCGAGCGGTTCACAGTGCAGTGCTAATTGTTTATTATTATTTAAACATTAGTAAGTTTTATATTTTTTTAAAGTTCATTAATAAAAATAAAACAACAACAATGGAAAGTATCACCAAAGCGTGTGAGTTTTTAGAAACTGTAAGTATAATTTTAAATAATTTAAAAATAATTAAAATAACTTTTATAATTTTTTAATAATATTATTATTCAATTTCAGCTTACCACTTACCAGCTTCCGACCATGCAGAATGTGGGAAATGAGCCGTTATATCGGCTCTTAATTTTAATATTAATTACCGTAAGTATTTTTTCTCATATATTTATTTATTTATTTATTTATTTATTCATTAATAATCATTTATTTTCAGTTGCAACGATTTGTGGAGGAGAGCAGTCCTCAAGGACTGCAAATCATACAAATGAAAGCAATGGTTCAACAAGTAAGTATTATTATAAAATTATAACAATTTATATTTTTTATTAATATTTAATTGTTATCTCTTTTCAGTGGATCAAGGAATCTATAGCGGCCAGAATGATGGCGCATCAAGTCGCCTATCAAATTGACAAAATTGTCAATGATCGCGTCAATGCAACACTAGTGCAACATAAGCGTGCGGACGCTATGCGGAGGCAGCAAGAATCCGCTCGATTGGAGCGGAAACGGAAAGCCGCCTTAGCTAAAGCGCAGCAAGACGAACTTGCTGCGAAAGTTAAGCGAAGGCTTTCCAGCATTGCTGCACCATCAACAACAGCCATGGTGAATGAAGGTAATGGGTCATCTTCGAGGCTGTCAACGTCGTCTGCGTCGATGACATTATTATCGTCATCATCAACGTCGAGGACAACATCACCAGCGACGTCAACAGCAACGTCGAGGACAACATCACCAGCGACGTCAACAACAACCTCTTCGACAGCAACATCCGCAGGCTGTCAAAGAGGAGACAATACTCAAATTGATAAACCACTCGATTTAACCGCTAATGTAAGTAATTAAGTTATACAATGAATTAACAAATTTAAATTAAAAATTAATTCTTAAAAAATTTTTTTACAGAAAAAAATTCCGGTGGTAAAAAACGTTGAGTGTGTTCGACGGAAAGTAATTTTGATTCCGGCTCAACCAACCATCAGGAAGCCGACTCGCCCCTCTAAGGTCGTCGGGTCCAAAAAAATTAAACAGTAATATTAAAAAGAAAAAAAATTGTATTTTTATAAAAAATAGTGTATTTTATAAAAAAAAATAATAAATTAAACTAAAATAAAAAATTAATAATGTTTTAATTTACTTAGGATCTACCAGTGCCCCCACCCCCATTCACCTATTCCACCCACCTACCTACTCTCACCCACTCACCCACCAATATTCATCTACATAGGTTGGTAAGGTAGGATGCTGTAGAAGTTGGTAGGGTATTTAGTAAGCTGTATGATGGTCTTTCTCCTTCTATAGTAGGGAGCATAGTAAGCTTATGCTGGCTAAGTTTGGGCCCTCGAAGAGGGGGTAGCGTCTCTAGCTTGCTAGGTGCGTACGCCGTTTAGTGTGGATGCTATTCTCTCTCTCTCTCTCTCTCTCTCTCTCTGTGGTACGTACAACACCTCTTTCTTCTGCTCCGTCAATACTCTGCCTTACTCATTTTGTTTTCCTTCTTGGAGTGAAAACTCACTTTGCAGGGTATTCGCCAACTGCGGCTCTCATGCCTGGGCAATAAATTGCAATTTTTATTGCCTTTTTCGAGCCGCGGAGGCGATTAAATACCCAGCTACACAACATAACCTACAAACTTAAGCAACAACGCCTTACACACACACGCTTCTGCACACCTACGCTTCTACACACTACGGTTTCATCTGTGCTACTACACACTACGCTCTCATCTGCGTCCACTGCATTAGCTGCATATCGTTGCTGCTGCACTCATTGAACACACTCGACTTTGCTCCAACCTGCCGAAGCTGTTCTCGACTGCATTCTACCTACATGTTGGTGAGAGAGAGAGAAAAAACACAAATCTCGTGCATGCCTATCTGCATCCTTATATGCGTTGCATAAATTTGCATTATTATATTCTCTTGCGTTCCCTTGCGTTATCGTGCATTTCATATAATACGTTCTTATAAGTATTGCTGAGTTTCCATATACTGTGTTTATGTTTACATCTAGCCTGTACGTTTGTATACCTGCTCAGCTGGGAAAAGTTGCTGGCTAGAGTCTGCTTGGCACGCAATCACCCGCGAAATTCGAAAATCGTCAAACTCTCTACGTTCGGACAATCAATTGTTGCCTCTGCCAGCATCTCTCGCTCAAGTAGCTTTCCCCTGTCTGTCTACACCGGCCTGGTTCTATGTCCAGTCAATGCGCTAAATGCCTGTTTTCCCTGCGCCGTATCGACAATACTCTTTTATGCACTGAATGTAACGCGCTCCTTCATATCGACTGTGTATCGCCGTCACTGCGTCCCAGGGGATCTGAACCATTCATCTGCAGGAGTCATCAACATACAAGTAGTAGTGACTCGTCGTTGGCGTCTGTCGTCGAGGCTCTTCCCCAGTCTTCACCAGTAGGTCCACCGGCCACTGGTGCGTCCCTCTTGCCTTATCTCTCCAAGAAGCGGCTCGCCTCGCCCACTCTGTCTAGCTTACACGTACCGAAACTCCATTGCCTGGGTCCTCCATTGTTACGCCGCAATTCTACAACTGTAGACAGATCCTCGCCTGCATCGTTGGAAAATTCCTCTACTGCCTCTCACCAGACTATACAGGTTAAGCCTACATCAGAGCCAATCATGTCTGATAAACCACCTACTTGGTTTGTTGGCTTCCTCGAGGAATTCCAAGACCTCAGAAGCGACATCAACTCTATCAGCTCCACTCTCCAGCATTCCGTCAAACAAAACGAGATCAACAATAAACTTGCTGCACACATTGATACCCCAGAGGTTATGGTTCGTGGGCTTCCCTCGCAGTTTAATGGCTCACTGTATGATGCCGCTCGCTACATATTAAGCGCCCTTGGTTTTGGTCACGGCCATGACATGCCTGCTATCGAGGCCACCCGAGAATGGTATCAGCCAAACCGCTACCAAAATGCTCAACAAAATGTCGACGCCCCCGCAGAGTCCTCTCACCCACGCCCCCCTTTTATCACCTTCTCATTCTACCTCTCATCAACCTCCTCTCGCGATCGTGTTATCGCTGCAACAGCTCGTATTCGTGAGCTCACCGCCCTATCCATTTTTGGGTGCGGTGGAAGCACCCCTGTCTACGTGCGCCCAGTCTACCCCAAAGTCATCTACGATCTCCTCACAAAAGCTAGAGCTGCCTGCACATCTCTTGGCTATCTCCGTCCTGTAGTCCGCAATCTGCGTATCTTCGTGCGACCGACATTTAATTCTGAGCTTTTGCCGATTCTCTGCGAGGAGGATTTACACCTTCTCCCCCCCAATCAAAATCAAAACCGCTCAGCAAACCTCTCACTCAATGCTATTACCCCTACTCGTGGCTCGCGACCATTCATTCCACGAAAGTCCCAGCGACTGCAGCAACCACAAAGTAATCAGCATCAATACCCGCATTAGTTACCTTCGCTACTACAATACCAACAAGCGCAACAACCACCACAGCAACAGCAGCAGATACCACAGCAACAGCAGCAGCAACCACCTCAACGGCAGCAACAACAGGAACCTCTGCATGGTCAGCAACTACAGCATCCGCCACCACAATTGTCTCAACAGTTTCATCAACAACCCCCGTCCCTGCAGCAACAATACCACC